GGCATCCTGAGGCAGAAGCACGCTGGGAAGGTTGGGCATTGGATATAAAGCACTAAAACGGCACGCGCAGGATGGCAGCCATGGCACGCCATGAAAACAAGGTACCACGTATGAGCAATATGGGTGATGTCAGACACTAAGGATTATCTACAGTTAATGTGAATCAGAAAGCAAATCTGGTTATTCACATGCTGTACTGCAAAACAGAGAGCTCTAGCAGCAGTTCCAGTAAATTTAAAGGTGCAGGGGGAAAACAGGCTCACTTGAAGCAATTTCCTCATACCGATTTCCCTGTGAACAACATTTAAACAATTGCATACTTCTTCCTTTTCACAGAGGGAAAAGGAATGGATGGATAGACTTAATTGCCCAATTAACTGGCTATTTAGTATCGAGAAAAGCTGGGGTTTTAACCCGGTGTCTTAAGAAAATTAAGTTTATTTAGTAGCTCTGCTTGTCTGCCTGCCCCCTTTACCCTGATCACTAAGAATGTTTGAATTTTTTCGCCACTTTCACACAGATTTAACAAAAGGGTAGAAATCTCAAAATTTTGTGAGATTTGGTGGCTTTCACAATGGCACACAGAAACAGCCTCAAACTGTTGTACATTTAACTACACCTTAAGAAAAATTCGAGCACTACAGTGACCTGTTAAAAGCAAGCAAGGGGTACAGGGGTTTAATTTTGCAATAGGGGGTCTTGATACATGATTAAGTTGACAAAGTCCCTAGGAGAGCTGCAGGGGAAAGAAAAGCTGCAGCACCACCAAGCCTATGAAATAGGATCAGCTTCACAGTCCAATGCTATAGGAGGTTGCTATTGGAGGCAAAGGACACAAACCGCACCTTTTTCACTTAAAGACATTCTTTATTCAATCTTTTTTATATACAATATTATTTTTAATCTGTAAAAAGTACATATGCAGGATTCCAGGTCAGAGGCAGAAGGTTTCCACATCAGAAGATAGACTTTTGCCCTTTTATTATTTTGGAGGAAAAATAACCTGTCAGTTTTAGACAAAGCAAGAATAAAGGCAGAATGCAAATCCAACTTCCACCAAGCGATTAGTATTAAAGGCAACAATTCACTGTAACAAGTTGGGCTGTCTCCTTCAACTTCGGTAGTTTCCAACTCTTCTGGGCAATTAGAGAGTAGTTTTTTAGAAGGGGCTGACAGCCGAAGCAGCTAGTGCTTATCATCCCTGCTACAGTTGTACACACATAACTTGCAAAAGAGCTCGGGTTTCCTCTTTGTACGGCAACTCAAACTCTTGAGTCAGAAGACTGTTTCTCACAATTCAAGGAGCGAAAGAGGGATGTCTTATCAGGGTGAACAGATCCCCGAAGTAGAGTGTGGATCAAGAGCTTGCTTTCATTTTTCTCTGGTAACAAGAAGCCTGTTTCTTAATTGTCCCCTTAAAAACATGGACTAGACCTACTAATGTACATAACAGGCTGAATTTGCTAAAAGCCTGTTACTACTGCCCTGAGATGTAAACTGCCTCACCATTTTCTGTGGATGCCAGATTACATTGTTGATGCTTTCAATGTTAATGCTATTAACCACTTCTCCATTCAAACTAGGGAGAGTCACATTATGAAGGTTTGTAATATCATTTCCTGAGGAATAGAAGAGGGGATCATAAAAGACAGCCCAGCAGGGCTTTGCTTAGCTGTAAGTCAGCAGAGGGTAGATCTTTAACCTTAAAGGATAGTATTACAGGGAGTGTGCAATTATTTTCACTTTTCAGAACCTGGATACTCAACATTCAAATCTTGTAAAATACTGGGTGAGAATATGTTAGCGATTGGGAGGTAGAAGACAGTGACCCACAAATTTGGAGTAGGGAGCTAAAGGAGCCTCAGGGGTGTGACTGGCACAGGGAACTACCTCCTTTTCCCTTTGGTCCAGCGTACTTACTATTTGCCATACTTTTCTTAAGCATTCAGTTTTAAGGACCATATAGTGCAGCAAAATGAACACCCAGAATATCATTCAAGGGTTTTGTTTTTATTTAGAGGACAAAGCTAAGAAGTTGACTTCTTGACTGCAGGACACACACAGCTCCAGGGTGGTCAATGGAAGCTGCAGAAATCTGGCTTCTCTGAAAAGTCAAGCTGTAAGCGTTAGAAAAAAATGAACTGCTAGCAGATCCTGACCAACAGGCAAGCTTGAGGCTTGGATTAGGAAAAGAACTGAACATCCTTGTTTTGACTGCATGCAAACAGGAAATAGACAATTCTGGGATTTCCAGGTTCTTGCCCAAATCCAGTGTGCCAAAAACGTATATGATTTTCTGTTCTTTATTTCATCCTGTAAGAGGAGAGGGTATTGCAGAAATTGCTAATATGGGACAGCTACCTAAAGAAAACGAGGATTGTTTTGTTAGAGAATACAGTGCAAGACTCAGAAACAACTAGGACTAAAAAAGTCATTTTGTGCTTAAATTTACACTCTATCTTCATGAAAGTATGTAAGACAGCAGCAACAGAATGAAAATGGCAATATTCTACTGTACCTTATGTACCCAGAGGGAAAACAGTCTGAACTTTGGGTTGCACATAACGCCATTCCGCAGATCAGAATCTACTTCTCTGTGAAGGACTCGGAACGAGGGCACATCACTTCAGTCAGAAGTTTCAATATCCGTGGTGCTTGGTTATTATGCACCCACCTTGCTCAGAACCCATTACCTCCAAACTCAGCTTGCTCTAGGAAATCTCAGGATGGAGAGATTCATGAATGACACAGCAATTAGTCCATAAAATGCATTATTTTTGATAGACTATGCACATCAGTAGCTTCTGGAGGAAAAGGATAGTTTGTATTTTAAAGAGTGATAGAGTAGAAACTGACAGCCGTTGGGGTAACTGGAAAATGAGAAACAAGTGTCCTTTATTTGGTACCTGCTGCTTGTCTACACAAAGAAGAAATAGCAGTACTGTACATCTGCTTTGAGAAAAATACCATCCCATAACATGAAATGGCTTAGGTCCTCAATTCAAGCATTCCTGTGGCAGTGAGTTAACCCATTGGGATTGATGGAGGAATTAATCTGAAGGGTCGCTTTTTAATTCACAAGAGGGGGGTGGAAGAGCAGCAAACAATGATAAGAAGTTTGCCATTTCTGGGACTCTAGAATTCTGTCCTTGACCTTCCTCTGAACAGACTGGCAGCCATTCTACATCTGCATTTATCAGGAGGTGTATGGGGATGGGTGTATGGGGTGGAAAGTGCCTTTTTCTTTTTTCTTTCTTTTTTTTTTTTTTAAACAGAAGAGTTTGCTTTTCCTCTTTCTCCTTTGTACCCAGAGAGATTTAGGACAACAAGGCAATCAAGTGCAGTTTTAAACCAATAACAGTTCTCATGGGATGGAAAAAACTCCATTTGAAAACACAACATATCTGAACTTTGGAAAATGTCTAGCTCTTCAGTAAGTCACTGAATACTAATTAGAAAAATAAATTAATGTGGGACCAGTAAGAAGAGTCCATTTATTAAGCTACTTCTAATTTTAAATAAACAATTACTTGAATCAATATTATTTACTATATCAATTACTTTATCAGTTCTCAAATTATTTTTAAGATACTGCTGCAAATTATAGTAACTAAATAACTGGTATTAAGGTAAAAACATTGAGATTGAAGTTTTTTCCAAGATCTATGTCTTCCTCCTCTTAAACTAAAGTAACTGTCTGGAAAAAACCAACTGATAGCATTTTTTCCTAGATCATGTGATGATTTCTGTGTCTAAGTCAGTGTCAAAGACGAGTGAAGAAAAATTTTATGGGGGAAATTTTACTATAATGTACAGTCAGATATATTATAATATGATAGAGGGAAAAGCTTTTATATATAAAACTTCATATATAAACATTTTTTGAGAGGGAGAAATAGCACTCACTCCCTTTAGATCTGGTGCTCTACTGCTGTAGCTCACTGAAGAGTTCTTCCACTCACTGTAGTATGAAAACACAATGAAGATTTTTTAAAGACTCAACCTGTGCACTCATTAGGAGGGAAAGGAGCACCTCACAGCTCTTTTTCAGCAAAGGGGCCAGTCACCATGGCAAAAGGATTTGAGAGCTATAAAGCTAAAAAGAATAATTTGAGTTGTAAGGATTCTAAACAACGGTAAAAAAAAAGAGATTGAGATATACTTGAAAAGACAAAACTTCTTTTAGCCAATAAGTGAAGACTGAAGCAGACTCCATTTAAGTAATACTGTCCAGCACAGCCTAGGTGTACTTGGAAAAAAACCCATGCAGGTAACAGCATCTTATTTCTCATAAACTAGTGGAAGAAGAGACTCTTCAGTTTCTTTTTCCACTCATAGGTAAGAGATGTTATGTTATTTCCAAAGAAGATCATGTTGGCTTTGTACTGGAGCACTGAGAAGAAAAGGAGTTTTGTAAACTAAATCAAAGGCAGTTTTTGGACTTCTGTCATACACATACCTGCAAAGAAGGTTCCATGAATAGTATCCAAAGAATGAAATTTAACTTTCAGGAAAAATCCTGATTGTGTGGAAAAATATAAAGCAACAAACTCCTGCTGCTTAGCTCAAGGAGAGCATTTTTAAGTGCCATATACTGTATCCTGTTATATAAATCATGAGACACTGTTTTTCTCAGGTTGTCATCTCTGTTTATTTAGCTAAAAGAACCAGGACTAATGAGAGAATGTTTTTTTCCATGTGACGGGATTTGTGAGGAAGGAAAACTTAGGCTCCTTCCTACCCCTGCGATATGCTCCAGACTCTATGACTGTAGCTTGCCAAATGAACTAAGCCCACGTTGCTGACAGTGAACTACAAACCAAATGCTTAATAATTGTTTTTTTGGATGTAAGCATGCAACACAGATCTTTCAGCATTATTTTGAAAAGGGAAAATGAGGAAGCAATAGTTTTTATAGTTTAGAGTTTAGTTTTAACAGCTTAGAGGCCCTGAGAATGGCTGCCAGTCTGGACAAACAGATGCTACTTAGAAAATTCAGACAGGTACAGAAAAAAATTCAAATCCTGATGCTGCTGGTGCAGTGATGTTGCTTTTTGTTGTTGCTTTGTTCATGCCATCATCAAACACAAAAAAATAAAAATAAAATCTAGGTATTTGGAACCCACGCGCTCTGAAGAGGTGACTGGTGTGTTGTTCCTTGCAACAGCCAACAGCAGCAATGGCAAGTTCCTCTCCCTGGACGGGAAAGCCTCTTCTTCCTTATGCTGCTGCATTAAACAGTAGATTCCATGTCTTGCTAGGGTTCAAAGTGTGCGAAGTCTCTGTCCTGCAAATACCACACTAACGTGTTTTGGTCATGTATAAAACAGAACTTTTAACTTATCTATATGTTGAAGAGCTTCGTTTCTCACGCCAGTACTTGCTTGACTCAGAGGTCTAGTTTTATGAAGTGTCTGTCTCCTCTCCTGCTTACAGTCTCAAGTGGTCCATGTAAACAAAACAGAGCTGAAAACAGTCTCTCTTCCTCTTCACGGAGCTGTTTTTATCGATATGCAGGATTTCCTGACAGTGTGGTGTTGGCTAAATGTAAAACAGGCAGAGGATGAGCTTCTGTGTTAAAAACCCAGTTGTCTAATGGTAGAAGGTCATCATTGGAGAAAAGCAGATACAAATACCTAGATATCAAGACAGAGAGGAAAAATGGTGGGTATTAAAGCAGAGCAACAGACAGGCAGGGGCAACACAGCAGCTTCAGGCCCCACCAGTCAGCAGCTAAAGCTATAAACAAGTTACTTGCTTTCAATCTTTGTATAGCACCCACACAACCTTCCCTGTTACAATGATCTGAAGAGTTATTTTTATCACGATCAAGCCCTTCAATGAAAAGTTGTTATAAAGACAGCATTTTAATCTTTCCAAGTAACTTTTGTTTTTCAAGACTCCTTTCAAAGACTTGCAATGTAAAACAAACATCAAGAAACCAAGCACAAGGATTTGGGGACAGGGGAGCAGAGAAGTATATAGGACGCGAGGAAATGGCCTCAAGTTGCGCCAAGGGAGGTTTAGACTGGACATTAGGAAAAACTTCTTTACTGAAAGAGTGATCAGGCCTTGGACCAGGCTGCCCAGGGAAGTGGTAGAGTCACCATCCCTGGAAGTATTTAAAAGACATGTAGATGAGGCGCTTAGGGACATGGTTTAGTGGGCATGGTCGTGTTGGGTTAACGGTTGGACTCGATGATCTTAGAGGTCTTTTCCAACCTTAATGATTCTATGATTCTATGATTCTAAGTTGGCAAGAAATTCTTCTTAATGAAGTAAACCCACTTGGAAATGACTAATCCTCTTTAATCCAAATCAAAGATTTCGAGGAAGCACAAGAGAAGCCACTAAGCCATGCCAGATATCTGACTTATCATCACCGTGCTGGAAGCTGGTTCAGCTTCTGGTGGGAGCAAATGGGCCAATATATTGTGCAGAGGGGATTCATAAATGTTGCACATTATAAAGCGATGCAGAGCAAGTGAAGTGTATAACAAAATTAAGATTTCTGGACATACGTGAATAAGAGTATTTCTCAGTTCTTTTTTCTTAACACACACTTTTGAATGTGGCTGTGCTATACTTTGTAGGAGATAATGGTGGCAGGGATTCTTTGTCAAGGCTTCCAAACTCAATTGCTAAAACTCAGAAGGCATTTGCCTTGTTCCAGAAAACCTGACTGTCCAAGTGCAAGCATAACATCACGAGTGTACAGGACCTCTCAGCTCCTGCTACAGCTTGCTTTCCTGACATCCAGAAAATGACAGGTCTTGCAGCACATGACAAGGAAGGGGTGTCGTTCTCGTTAGTGGGCTCTGTCACATCCAGAATGTGCACACACATTGTTCTGCCTTCGCACTGCTGAGGCTGCTGTTACTTCGCTCGCTCTCAATCAGACGCTGGTAGTGTCTACTATCTACAGTCATGTGTCACTGCCTGATCATTCTCCCATTGCCTTTATTCGCCAGATGTATCCACAGCACAACCCAGTCAGCAAAGCTCTACTTTTTCTTCCCTTCCTCACCAATTAACTATTTACAGATAAAAATTTCTTGCTGAGATGATTCAGTTTTGTCCCACACGTCTAGTCTCTTTTCTACATTTTTCATTTGTCTTGAAAGCATCATGCCTTTCTTTTTCTCCTTGCTTCTACCTTGCTTTCTCCCTCTGCAGCTCTCCAAACTCTTTTTCACCACAGCAGCAATGTTTCATCTTACTCAAATTCACCTTCTTCATTTGATTCACACTTTTCTTCTGAATAACTTAAGCAACCTATTTCTATGTCTTGCTCCTTCCCACTAAACAGCTACCTTCTTGCCACTCAGACTGCCCAAACTCTCATAATTTGCCAGGGTATCTTTGACGAGCCAAAGTATCTGAGCAGCAACAATGCATGTTTGGCAGAGGTATAAATTTTGAATTCGAGGGGAATGAAGATGCAGAAGTTATCATCAACAGCAAAAAAGATCACAGCAGGCATTCCGTAACACACATTTTATGCCCCTCTTCTGAGGGACATCTTTATTTTCCTCATGGCATCACACCCAATACTTCTGTCTTTATTTTCATAGCCATTTGAGCTATCCTGACCTTATGTTCTCTATTTTATCTCAAGGTGTTATACCAGTTTCTGGTTTGGCTATGCCAATTGCATCAACATCAAACAACTAATATCCAGCTCTCCAATAAAAGGTTTTGTCCCACAAGCGGGAAATGATCCAAACCAAAAGCCAATAAAAATTTCCGAGTACCTTCCTAGAACTGTCTTCTTTTGCAATGCTTGCACTATAGTACTGTATAGTGCTTGCACTATAGCACATCCAGTTACTGAGTGATGCATCAGTGAATTTTCAGATCTCCTTGTGATTATTTAAGATGCAGACAGGATTCTGGCGATATTTCAAAGGTCAGCCCTGTCACCACAGAAGTCCCTTAGGAGCAGATTTCATTCTCTGATTCGGCTTTTATAGGCAGATCAATCATATAAGATCAGCTCCTGGGGAGGTATTGCTTCTCTGACTGGACCTGTTTGAAACTGCTGCCTCTCTCTTTGGGAATATAGCTTTTAGTCTCCGGAAAATGAACTTGAAGGAGTAAGTGAAATAAAATTAATGAAGACAACAGAGGAGGTACCAGTAGCTGACTTTCTTTTTATAATGATAACATGGAGAAACAAAGTATTGTTACTATGTAGAGGAATTTGGTAAGGAGCCAGCAGAAAGATAGAATAGCCAGACTCTCCCCTTACACATGATGAACTCAGAGCCTGTTATTGCCAGTGAAACATGTTGCAGTGCCTGAAGTAGGCACCAGTGCTGCCTCTCAGGACCTGCTTTCTCCCTGCTGCATTTTGAACTCCCAATACACAAAATTAATCTTCACATACATCAGCTACAGCTAAAACCTGAAAATTTTATATTGCTGATACTGTAAAGTCTGCTGCTGTACAGAAACCCTGTTTATTCTGCAAAGCCTGCATGCCATGCCAGTCTGCCAAATGGTCACAACCGTTTTTTCGTCATATCACTGGGTTGTAAAAACAGAAAGGACACCTTAATGAATCTTCGTTGCTGACAGGTTTCTGCAACAACATATGCATCATCCGTTCCATCACATGTTGGCAGAAAGTGGTATGGATATGTAAGCAGAGGCAACAACTACATCTCCTAATAGCAGCTCTGGCCTCATTTACACTGCCAGCAGTGGCTTCTGTCTATGGATTTAACCAACTAAAACATTCTCCGAACTGTTACGCAGGAGGAAAAAAAAAAAAGGTAGGGAATATAGCCAACTCGGAGACTTTTATTCCAAAAGTAGACAATTCACAAGATTTCAGGGAGGTAACCAATACAGGAATCTTGGTAGATTTCAATGCCAGAACTATATTACCAAATTGGCTGATGTAACTTGAGTATCAAGAAAATTGTCACACATTAGAAGACACTGCTTCATAGGCCAAACCCGAGAGTGATCACAACCATGTGACAAAAGAGTGCTCTTGATAGCTGGTTTGTGTCAATGATGATGGAGATGAGTAGCCATGACACGCTAGCTCAGTTTTAAAAATGGATCTCTTAATAAAATTCCCATAACATATTCCTATCTTTATACTAGTTTTTCTTACTGTATGTATCATCTCCGTAAGTTAGAGGTTACAGCATATTCTAGTATAGCATTTTTTGTTATTAATTAAAAAGAAACATGGTGGAAGACCAACGATTTTGAACATTTTACCTTGAACCAAATATGCAACAGAGTGCATTAGCTTCTGCAGGGTGGACTACAGGTGTCCTACTGATTTGACTGAACTGAAAATATTTAAGCATGTAAGAGATTATAAAATATGCCTGATATTCTTGCTTACATCAAAAAGCATTCTAGAAAAATATGTTGTGGGATAAATACAGAAAAATCATCCAAGGGCACAAAGGGCTTTTGTTCCATGCATTTACTGCCTTCCAGTGACACACATAGGAGAAACAGGTTCTACAATATCAGAGCATGGCACATACTTGTGTAAGACATGTCAAGTCAGTGTATCTAAAAAAAAAATGTCTTTTGCAACGGGAATTTTTTAAAAGCAGATAACCTCTCCTCTGCTGTGATGCCAGAAATCAAATAGAAGTCTTAGGAACTAAAGCTCTCTCAGCATAAGCTTCCTCATATGGGAAATTCCGCTTGTATTTTCTTCTGGTAAAATGGGCTGATCTGGGACCCTAAAGCCGAGTAAAAAAGAAAGCCCAAACCATAAACCACCCTGACAAGACAAGAGATTATTTCTTGGGCCACCACATTCTTCTAGAATTTAGATGCTAGCTTTTACAGGAATATGCAAGAGTGAAGAGAACTTACTTCAAAGTTTCAGCAAGGAAAAAGCTCTGCTGTACGTCGTCATATGTAGGAGATGAGGAATAGACATCCTTGACACCAGAAAAGCCACCACTGACTCGACAATACTTGTCAATTGCCTGCAAAGAGGAAGGGAAAAGAAAAGGAGAATTTAATTGTAGAGCAAAATTTGGAAACATTAAAGGATCAGGCTTGATCAACAAAGGAGGTATCTCTTTCTGTGCTGCATTATTCTGCTGTGAATCTCCTTGTCAGAGGATGCTGTGGATGTTAACAGTTTACACTGCCCAAAAAAAAAAAAAAAGGGACTGGATACATACAGAAGTAAAATCCCTCCAGGGCTACTAACAACATCACATTTGGCAAACTGCTAGATGCTAAGAAAGTATTTTGGGGAAGAATACTTTCTTTCCTGGGCATTTACTGTTGACTGATATTGATGATGGACATGGACTCAGCAGACTTTTGCTTTGAGCTGGTATGGCTCCTCATAGGTAACACTGAGTAGAACATCCATCAGTCAATCAATGCAACACATGCTATGAGGTGCATAGGAAGATGACAAACGTCCCTGAATTTTGCAGCTGGAAGAGTTTGAAGAATTATAGGAACTCTGTGACTAGTAGCTAGTCATAGGGACTTACTGAAAGTAGGAATAAAATACTGTACTCATCTTTAGGGACTGTTGATTTCATCTTATAAACTCTTCTAGCTGCTGCTTTCTCCCCACATTTCCATCTCCTACATGTGCTCTTCTCTGTTTCCCCTTTATACAGTTGAAACTCAAGTCAGCTTGTGTGCTGGACTGCAGAAGAGCTCTTTATCTTTAAAGCATGAAGTTTAAATCCATAAACATTCCATGCAGAAAGGGGCCAATGGATCCGTGATTCACAAATCACCCAGCTAGTCAGCTCCAACACAGTACTGCAAAAAGCACAATGGAAGAGGAGGAGACTGGAAAGAACGCGTTAGTAGCTCAGAGCACCTTTCGCCTAGGCTTTCATTATTCCACTCACATGCACGACCTAACAGCATACAAGGATATCAGCCATTAAAACCGGCCCCAAAGAAACGACTCTGAAATGATTCACAGGTTATTTGTACTTCCCCGCTGCTTTGGCAGTGCTTCCTCAGCAGACACCAACTCTTTTAACAGATTCATGCAGGGACAGAAAAGGCACAGTGATGAAGGAAAATGTTTGGCTCAGGATGTCTCTCATTACCAACTACTGAACGTAGCTACCTGTAGTTCAGTAATCTATGATTCAGCCCGTTAGCCTGCATGAAGTTTCTCTCCACATGGTGCTTTAGGCCCAGATTTTCGTTACTTCTGATTTTTGCTAGTTACACTCAACAGAAGCTGAGGGGAGTCAAGGCAGGGGAGCAAATAAGTTCTGAATGATGTCCCTTTTTATGCAGAGAAAACAAATTAAATCAAAATTAACTCTTCAAGGTCCTTACTATAGCCAATACTGGGAAACAAAGGAGAATTTTCCACTGGACACATGCATGAAAAATGCTGGCAGATGCCATCACTGAAATCGGGAGGAAAAGTGAAAAGGCAAATGAGCAAGGTACCTAGGACAGTAAGTCACAGCACATCAGGTACTACAGCTAACCTCCTCCTAGTACACACTCTTACCCTGTGGAAATGTGAGGTTGTTTGTGGACCAAAGAATAATCCAGACTGTACAAAGTTCTTTCAAATTTCTGAAGACCAAGATTTTTAAAGAAGCAAGAGGAGAGACTGGCAAAAGGATGTTACTGGAACGGCTGTGGCTCTAGAGCCTGAGCTTATGCCAAGAAAGGTACAGTCTGTCTTGGCAAAATCTAATTCTCGCTGTACTTCCTTATCTCAAGTGGAGCTTTCTCCAAGTTCGGATGGAAATGCTCCCTTTTTTGTTGGGACTTGAGCCTAAAAGGGGAAAGTGTCTGGATGAATTCTTTTCAGATCTGGTTACTAGTGCATGCTAGGGCTACACTGAGACTATTCACATGTTGGGATTTGGGTTGACCAGGTTTTCTCTACAATCTGGAGATAAAGGTTTATGTGACACATCTAGCCCAAGAGCATCACACGCATGACAGTCTCTTTGTCTGCATGCTCTTGCACACCACAAATGATGCTACCTATCACATGGCAGCCAAACAACAAAAAAAAAAGAAAAGAAAAAAATTAATTGCTTGGCCGACTTCTGAAGAAATAATGCATACGCTGTTTATGGAACCATTTGCACGTTCCTCCCCACAAGTCCTACAGCCGCTAGGCAGGTGTTATATGAATAAACAAGAGCCAAAGCACTTGTGCTTTCTAGGCAGGAAATGAAGTGCCTCCTCTTGCCACTATCCCCTTTTTCATAATACTGCAGAACACGGCCTTGTCTCTGCTCTGGAGCGTGGCAAGATAGGGGGGGAAGCTCCAATGGTTACAATCCTGCCAGAATTTCTAACATGTAGAGTCTGACCTTGCAGGTGTTCCTCTGGTCAACAATTCAGCAATCCTGACACAGCTCGGACAGGAGAAACTTGCTAGTGATTGTGGCAAAATGAAAAGAAGGAACAAACGGTACCACTGTTAGGACACTGTCTCCTTCCTCCTCAAGAATTAAATCCCCAAGTCAGCATAAGAGACAAAACTCATTTATTCTGGAGACTGTAGATAATAGATAGCACTGAGATCCTGCTCTGTGCTGTAGAGGTCTCATGCTTGGATAACGAAGTGCAACACTGGTGAAGCTAGCAGGCCTAGAAGTCTGAAGAAAGAAAATGTGTGACTGATATTGATTTTTTTTTTCCTTACAATTACCAAGTAGTCTTGTATATTCAGAAATTTCTCGCTGGGGAGACAGACTCTGGCTAGACTGGAGTTCAGGATAGGCAGAGGATTTATCCTAGTTGATCAGAGATCTAGACATTGCAGGTAGTAATGAACTGTAGCGGAAAAATTCCTCTGAAAGACTGCTATACAACTATTCATCCAAATAGGTATAAACAAATTGTCCTTGATTCAGAGGTGTACAGAACTTCAGGACGCTGTCTGAAAAGTTTGGTGCTGTAGACAAGCTCCTTAAAAGGCACTTGAAATTTGCAGTGTTCTGCCTTCACACGGATCTCAGAGTACTTGCTGTAAAGCCATCTGATTTGCCACCTGGATGGATACTCTTTCACTTAAGAGCTGACAACCAGTTTCCTTGATAAAATGATGCTAAATTTTTTGCACCCTAGAATACAGGGAGGTCCTAGATGACTGGAAGGGTATCAACATAATGCTACTATTATGAGGCATTGGCAGGCTGAATAATTTTAAGATGGCATACCTGATGTTAGTCCCAAACAATTACGGAAACACATGTAAAAAATATAGAATAATAAGAGGATAATTGACACCAATCAGCATGGGTTTATAGAAAACTATCGTGGTCACAAGCTTGATTTCATTCCTGGAGGTCTACAAGTTGGCAAATAAAGGTAACTGCAGAGGTGCAATAAACTTAAAAGTTTCTAAAGCAATTGACATGGTACCATAAGACTTTATGATAAGACAAAGCAGCACTATACCATATCAATATCACTATCTTAATTTAAAACTGACTGACAATGCTCTAAAAACGAGCTGGCAATGTAAAATCATCAACAAATAGAGGTGCTTCTCACAGAAATCTGCAAGAAGCGGTCTGAAGTTTTATCAATCACTGCTGCTGACAAAAATGACATAGGTAAATAACAGCAGTCAGTGTAATCTGGCAGTAACTGGGGTCTAAACTAAATGAGTTTCATATAACCAGGCACATAATCCTAAATCTAGACATGAAGGCTGTGTAACTGCAGAACCAGATTAGCCTGGAAAGTAGAGACACTTAAAAGAATACAGTGGCCACATGAGACAAGCCAGTATGAGCTCCTGCTAGGATGTTGTGGCAGGTGCACACACAGGGACAGTAAACAGGGGCAGGGATATAATTTTACTTTTGCACAGGGCTGTGCATAAAGACAAAATTGGAATATGCAATTCTAGAATTCACTTTTAAAGAAGGATGATGAACTGATGTGGGTGCAGACATTTGGAGAAAATGCTTTACAGTGGGAGACAATACAATTTGTTTAGCATCTTAAGTAGACTCAGTAGTAAGCTTATTACAATATATGAAAACTCTTTGGAAAGAAAACATGGGGTAATAAAAGACATTTTAATACGGTATAGGAAGTCATAGAAAAATCCAGTGATTGTCAGCTGAAACTAGACAAATTCAAATGGGAAATAAAGTATGTATTTTTAACAGGATAAGTAATTAAATAATGGAACAAACTACCAAAAGAAGTGGATTTTCCAGTTCCCCTTATTCAAATCAAGAGTAGAACAGAAGAATATGTAATAGTGTACTCCTTCCAAATACACGTGTCTTGGCTCAAAAATGATGTAAAGTGAAATTTCAGAGCCTGTGACATACAGGGAGGTCAGAGTTGATCCAAGTTCTTTGGAACTAAAATTGGAGGTGCCTCTAGATCAGACCCCAGCTCCCTCAGTTCCTCTGAGGGTGTTTTTGTGGTTGCATGTGTGACTCTTCTTGACTATGCCAACAACATGCTCATAAAAACTGTGCCAGTTTCTTCACCAGCTTTCTCCCCAAAGCACCTCTCTGTGGTACTCACAGCTTCCAACCCATGAACTGTGAACCCATGTTTCTTTCACCTCCAACCTATGCCTGGCTCTTTTCTGTCTACTTTGCTTCACTAAGTAGAGAACTATAGGTCTTTCCACTCCATCCTACTGTCAATCCTCAGTTTGCCTGAAGTTAGCCTGAACTTGAGGTCTTGTATATCATTTTCACTGTAAGTAGAAACTCTGAACAAACTCTGCAGCCTCCGTGGTGCAATCCTACTTAAGTCAGATACGGAAGTCCCCAAGAAATAGTTGAACCTTTCTTTTACACAGCTTAGATTTGTAATTGGCTTTACATGCCTATTGTGAAGTGGTGGCTCTTATTGCTTCAAATAATTAGCCTAAAAAGGATTTTAGTAATTTTCTGTATTTACCCTGAATATTTTGCATGCTTATTTCTGTAATACTTCAGCCAACCCCCCAGCATAACATCATCCAATTTGGCTGGCCCGATACAATTGAGATGGATGTTGTCTCTAGTGCTAAGTGCAGTATTAGAGTGAATTAGCCTTTTTTTATTAAGAAAGAGATAGAAGCCCTGTCCCAGGGATTTATGATCACTGAGGGAATCTAAGATTCAACTTCATGGTTTTTCCTCACAGACACTGGATTTGGAGAGATGTGACAAAACAGGCCTTGGTCAAAGCACACCACCTGCACTAAAATGCCCAAGTTTTGTCCAAAAATCTAGACAATAAAGTCAAAAAGAAGCTGCCAATGGTGAAATAGATAAAGAAAGTACAGTATAAAGTTCTGCATACACACACAATCCAGCCTTCTGTGCAAATTCCCATTGATAAAAGCCAGAGAGAGATCTGGGCTGGCAGTGCTAAAGAAACTTAAGTAATGCAGAATACTTAAAAGCCAGGTCGTTCTGCAATGTATCCTGGATCACCTCTGAAGAGTTCTTAAAATGACAGAAGCAGACCTCTAACATATCGGTGAACTAACCCAAATCCATTTGGGTACAGATGTATTCATCCGTTCAAAGAAGCAAACAAGGGAGACCACCAAGAACTCAGTCATCAAACACCAGGTTACACCAGGTTTAATGTAGAAAAGTAAGACCATTTAGAACTCAGAAACAAAACTCAGAACTCAGAAACAAAAAGCTTCCCAAGCTTCTGTGTTAGTATGATGGTGGGGGAAAGAAAATCTGTAATTGTGGGAGGGAGGGGTATGCAAAACCATTTACGAAGAGTTCAAAAGTATTTTACGGCTATGTTGGATAAAGAAACTCTTTACTGAGGAAGCAAGCAAAAAAAGGCACTCTGTAAGAACAGAGGCAGTTAAGCACATGGGCTGCTTGATTTACACAATTTCGATCCAGGTTGACAGAAGGATAAAATAAAATCCTACCCTGCACACAGAGAAAATTGGAGGCAGGGAAGGAGGAAGGGCGGGTTTGGTTTGAAAGCATTAATGGGGACCAAGATATGAAGGCAAATGGAGAAAACGGAACAAAATGCACTTCAAAGACATGCTTTGCAGTGTGCTTAAGAGACTGATCCCGGCCTGAAAAATTTACGTTAGTAAATTCTTTAACCTAGTACAGAGGACCCAATCTCAGCTTGGATCATCCAGCCATAGCTTCCGACAGGAGCTGGTGTTAGATCAGTAAGCATTTGTAGTACACACACTGGCAAAGAGCAGGTTACTAAATCTGTTTCTTTTAGAAACATACATAGTTTGGGCAGGAGGCATGATGATGTGACTCAATGTTTGATGTTTTGGAAAGAGCGGCAATGCATTCTGGAATACAAGTGTGACAAATGTGGAACCTGTCTCCAGAATAACATAATGTTGGTTATAACAAAACAGTCTACAAGGCAAAACCTAACCAAGACTAAGACATAATTTTAAAATACTTGGACTCATCTATGTGATTGTAACTGCACTGAGGGAAGAATAGGGATGAGCTCAGCTAAATATTCTGAACCTGCCTTAACCATCTTCCACTTGATGAACAGATTCACGCTTCTCAAGAGATCTCTTGTTCCAAGTACTTTTTCTGGGTCTGTTGCCTCTGGAGCAAAACTGGTTTTCACCTGCAGAATAAAGTTTCTCCAAGCTCTTGGTTCGTCTCTTCCTTTGCTCTTCCTTTATCTCCTTTGGCTGTACTCAAAATATTTCATTGGTGTCTTGTTATCTTTAATGTTTATTTTCATTTCTGAAACTGGCTTTGAGCTGTGTTTCCAAAGACTGCTGGAGCTGTAGAAGGGAAGTGGAGGAGCTACAGTAATCCAATGCCCACTCAGATCTTTAAGATGACCAGAAACTGCTTGCCAGCAAATGAGTTTTGCACGACCCCAGTACAGACCAGCAGGTGGAAGCAGTGAGAAACATGAGACCAGAAAAGACTCACAAGTTCAGTCCTAGGAAGCATTTAAAAGAAGTAGTCTTTTGGGGATTACAAATAAATTTTACAATTAGAATATTATATTGTCATGTGAAGATGAAGCCTAGTTATTCATACAGCCCATAATCTATGACTATCAGACAAAGGAGTTATCCATCTGTGTACAAAGGATGAATGACGGAAGACCATGAGCACAGATCTGCATTGAGAGTCTTACAATGAATTTGCGCTTCTGTAGACCAGTACAAGCATTTCCAATGAGAAAGACTCAGAAGCATTTTCACACTTGGGAATTTGATTAAAACATAAAACAACTAGATTTAAACCCAGGAAAGCAGCTATACAAAAAAAGCAAAAATCTCTAAAATACCTTAGCAACAATTTTTAAGTTCTGCCTTATGTGCCATTACTTATTCACTTCCCTTTCTGGTCTACTTGTTAGTGATGTAAATTTTTGTTATAACTGAGTAAATCTAAACCGACTGGCAAATTTTCTTCCTTCCAATCAGATAACTAAGAAAAGAAAGAGCCATGATACCAACCCATATATACATATGTACATGCTATCTAGCCTACAAACCATCTGAGAACAGTTGTCCTACCACTTGTGTTTTAATAGCTGACCAAGAAGGAACCGTAAGAATAGCTTTGTCTTTTAATCTAAACTGAGTGCTAACACATGCTTAACTAAGTTATTTATAATAAGCTTTCATTTCCCAGGTTAAATTACCTCTCTTGGGGGCTGTGGACTACTGATAACAGTAGGAGAGTAGCAGCCATGACCAGTGGATTCTATTTCCATGCCTAAAACCCATCAACTGTATAATGCTGAACACGTTTCTCATCTGTGCGTCTGATTCAGCAAAACGGGAATAACTGTGTGCACCCCTATATGTACCCCAGGAACTCGTGAAAATCAATTACCATTTGAAGTGTTTCAATACCATGAGATTAAAGTGGCTACGAAAGGAAAATACATAGAATTTATTTACTGACAGATAATTAACACATTTACCTGCGTTGCCTCCCAGCCCCACTGCCTGTACTTGGGATCATGGGTGAATCTCCACATATACCAGTAGGTCTCAATCACCTCTGGTCTTAGGATGTAATACTTCTCATTCTGCCGCACTGCCACCGCCTCGACGCCACCATCAAATTTGAATGCTTCTGGACCCAGCTTTAATGCTGCAGAGGAAAGGAAAGAAAAAAAAAAAAAAAGAAAAAATTTATTCCTTACCAATCTGTGCAGGAAGGGTGGCTAGGAGGCTGCTATATCCCAAGCACGTGAAAAAAGCAGAAACTAGCTTGCCTTTAAGCAGTCTCATAAATATTTCCTATTGTTGAGGCCTATAATTTTTCTTATGAATAATTTATCCAATTCCTGTGAGAAAACTACCTATCTTGACAGGAGTACAGTAATCCTCTTGAAAACTAATGAAATGCTAAGAATATAAACAGATTAACACATTCAATTATAGGATAAAATTAAAGTGACCGACATCAGTTCTTTACAAGCAAAAGAAAACCAAAAAAGGGTCAACAGAGGTTTTGATGTCTTTTGATCCCACCCAGCACAGCGGGAAAAGATCTTCGAACAAAACCAGGTACCACCATCTCAAATAACCTGCATCTTTATCCAAACTCTCTTGGTTTAGGGAAGTGCTGTCAGGCCACTGTAACTGATGTGCTTCATAATGTGATCCTCAAATAAAGGGTTTACAACTAGGCAATGAAAACTTAGCCACACCTGAAAATAAATCTCTGAACTAAGAGATTTACTATTTCAGCCCTTAAAGGAAGCTGTAGTGGCCCTGTGCCAGCATCTGGAAGACTATTCATATAAGGAAAAGGTACCTGTAGAAAAACTGTCTATAATATGAAGATGTAATTACATATTTTTTTTTATTATACAGCTACACATTGTTCCCAAATTTGACATAAATAATGCATTCTTATCTACAGCTGCACCTCACCCTTTGCTTTGGCAGAGAATTTTTAAGGCGCTGAATTCTGAAGCTGCACTCGAGCTTTAAAAATTATCAAAGCAATTAATCACAGGCTCAAATTAACCATGGTCTCATGAGTCTGAAAGGGGAACCTTAGGATACTACAATGAAAAATATGAGCACCTCCCAGTGCATGCCTGAGAAGAAAATCTCCAAAAAAAGTTCCTTAATCTTTTTGTTTCAAGGGAGTATGGCTCTGGCTGTCAACAGAAAAAAGCATCACCCTCTGCTTCAGCCACATGCTGGTAAGGAAAACTCCATCAAGAAATGTTTATGATACTTCTTTCAAAATGGGCCATTTTACCAGTTTCAGTAAAAAAAAAATTATACAAATTTTACTGCAAAATCAATGAGATTAGATACCTATCCAAAATTAAGAAGATAAGAATGGACCAGATGGAAGTTCTGTCTGGTCCAGTATCATGTCTCCAACAACGGCCAAAATCAGACAATGATGGGGAAGAGGAAGAACAGGCCAAGTATATGAGATACTTTTTCCAGCTTCTCTACCAGTCTCCAATTTTTTTGAGCTCAAGGCTTCTCCCAAACTAGACATACTTTTTTATGTGGTCAGTAATTCTCATTAGATTTATTTCCCAAGTACTTATCTGGTTTTCTTAAACCTGTGTAAGCCTTAAGCGTCCAAAACAACCTCTGCTAAGGAGTTCCACATCTCTAATACCTCTTTGTTGTAGAACCACTTTTTTTGTTCTTTTCCATTTTCAGCTTGGTTCCTACTAGACTCATTCAATAGTCTCTAGGTCTTGCCTTGGAGAAGAGAGTGAACAACTGATTCCTATTTACTCTCTCCAGTCCCTGGTAATTTTGAAAATCTTGTTGTATCCCACCTAAAATGTCCCTTTTCCACACTGAAGAATACTATCCAATTCCTTTGTTCCTTGAATGGAAACTGTTCCATACCTTTAGTTTTCCTTCTAGCCTTTCTCTGCAACTCTTCCAATTCTATTATATTCTTTGTGAAATGAGAGGACCAGCCTGAATACAGCACTAAAAGTGTGGACAAGATTAATACAGTGACATAATGACATTTTCTATTTTGCTCTTTCTCACTTTGTTTTTCCTGACTGCTACTGAGCTGACATTTTCATAATCTCAAGAGCAATTTCCTGAGTTGTAATGGTCAGTTAAGAGCTCATCATTTTATATGTGAGGTTAGGAATAATTTTTTCATAGGTGCCTCACTTTACATTTAACTACACTGACTTTAATTCAGTAATTTATTACACAATTACTCAACCTCATAAGGTCCTTATGTAATTTTTCAGCTTTCTTTCATCCTTACTATCCTGGATAGCTTTTTTTTTTTTTTTAGTTATTATCAGCACACTTACCTTACTGTTCCTGCCCTTTTCCTAATAATTTTTATATATATATGTGTATATATTTTT